TTGAGCGGGGTTGATGGCTATTGTCTTGGTCATTCAAAAGTGACATCCTCATTTGTTGGGGAGACACTTCATGGTACTTTATAGTTAGGACATATCAGAGGAGCTTGAAGTATTTGTTAGAATAGAAGATGATGACTGATGAGTATCAGAAGTGGGTATTTAAGTTACTGAGATATAATTTTGAGATCCAGTATCGCCCAGGACTTGAGAATAAGGTCACAGATGCATTGTCGAGGAAAGTGAAGAAGCCCCAGTTGACATCTCTATCAGTATCCATGGTCTTAGATTTAGAACCCTTTTAGGCAAGATAGTGAACACGATGAAGGGTTGTGGAAGATCAAAACGGAGTTGCTATAGGATCCGATCAATCATCCAGGATATGCATTAAGGGAACAACAACTACTCTACCAATGACTATTTGTGTTGCCAAGGGCATCAAAGTACATCCCCAAACTATTGTAGGAATTTTACAGCAGAACGATTGTGGAGCACTCAGGGGTACAAAAGACATACAGTCGAGTGTCGACAGAGCTATATTGGGAGGGGATGCGTGGAGATGTAGAGGACATAATGGGGAGATGCGGTATGTGCCGACGACACAAGTATTTGACTATGGTACCAGGAGGGTTACTGCAATCTCTAGCTTTGCCTGAGAAGATTTCAGAGGAAGTGACGATGGATTTTAGATCATTGGGACTTATTGTGATATGGTGGGGGTAGATCACTTGAGCAAGTATGCACACTTCATTCCATTACGACACCCTTACATTGTCGTTTCAGTCACTATTGTATTCATATGGAAAGTGATTCGTTTGCATGGTGTTTCGAAATTCATTATTTGACAGGGACAAGGTGTTCCTCGATCATTTTTTGGAAGGACCTTTTCAGATTACGGGTGACAATTTTAAAGAAGAGTACAAGATATCATTCCCAGACAGGTGACCGGACGGAGATGATTAACAAAAGTGTGGAGACATACCTATGTTATTTTGTATAACATACATTGAATTTTTTCGCAAGGTAAAATACTTGAGTTGAGTATTGGTACAACACTTCATACCATATTGCAGCAAAAACCGCTCCAATTAGGATTTTGTAAGCGAGGGATCCACCTCACCTGATACACTAAGGTCATAACACTACACTGGTATTCAGTGTAGACTAGTACTTGTAGGAGAGAGACAGAATATTACTAGAGCTCAAAGGACATCTACTGAGGGTCCAATAGATCATAAAAAAAAAGGCTGATAGACATAGGAGTGAGGTACAATTTGAGCCTGGGGGCATGATTTATTTTAAGCTAAGGCCTTACCGACCAAAGACACTGTGAATTGTGACATTCATTGGGGCAGTGGTATACCATCTGAGTTTACCGCCATCATCATCATTGCGGAGACCACACACCCTCATCTTCACCTTTAACTTTAACAAAGAATATAAAGGTAGTTTTTGAACTTTTGGAGGTAGAAGGGGTGCACCAAGGAGTGACTGGGGCAAATGAGGTGTTGATTAAGTGAAAAGATCTATTAGATTATGAAACAACTTGGGAGCCTTATGACATGATCTAGAAGCAATTTTCATCATTCCACCTTGAGGGCAAGATGTTTTTTTGGGAGTGGAGTAATGTTACGTCGGTCCCTCCAGGATTGGCCTGGACCGGCCGGCCCAACCTTGTTTACGTCGGTCCCTCCAGGATTGGCCTGGACCGGCCCAGCCAAGCCGGCCGGCCCAACCTTGGGGGGGCGGATGTTTCTAGGCCTTGAGTTGGTCCCAATAAGCCCCCGTCACATATGAGAGGAGAGGAATTGGGGGAAAGCTTGAATATGTTTTTAGGGTGTTTTATTAGGGCTAATTATCTTGGGTTGGTTTTTATGTTTTGATTCCTGTAGTTTTCTCTGTCTTCTTGTTCCTAGCGGTATTTAGGGTTTGTGGAGAGTTGATCTACCTCTCGAATTGTAGATCATTCATTATATCTTATTTGTTTGCTTGAAGATTAATAACATTAGCCTTAATTTGAATTTTCCCACATATTTGTTGCAATTTATTCAATGATTTTGGCTTCCGATTTGTATCAGTTCATCATGTTGGTTTTCCTTTCAGCCTTGTTTTGGAGTCTATGAGAGTTTAAATCGTTTTGCATCAGCAGCGTTGCATAAGAACTGCCAAAATGGTGGGTGGATGCAGAGTTTTATTTGGATCAGCAAGTGTGGGATTTCTAGGCAGAGGGGAGGTGGAGGTGCATACCCGGTCTGTTGTTTTTGCTGGCAAATTTGAAAGGTTGTCACTATATGGTTTTATGTGGATGCCCGCTAACCTAGTTTTTTTTCATTCCTACTGAACTTTCCAAAAATGTACTGCTAGATTCTTATAGTCCATATAGCAAAACACATTTCTTGCCACCGTTCGTATTTCTATCGTAGTAGCCAAATTGCAGTCAATGGAAACTTGAATGGTTTTCCATTTGTCCAAGATCAAAGATACTCCCCATGCCGCACATGCTCCTTAAACATATACTTTATTAGTTTTCATATAAAGATTGTCGATGACGGCCTCTATTTGTATCTTATCTGCTTTCAATAAATGTATGTTAAAATTGTTCTTCTCCATGTTTGTTTTAGAGAGCAACGATTATCAATACATGTTACCGTTAACCTAATCAGGCCTTCAAAATGAGGAGTGAAGCAGAGGTAGCATCTTTTGAACGCCATTTCTCTCGTGCTAAGCTGACGCTTTTACGGTACAATGGTGGATAAATGATTGTGGATGTCATAACATGTTGTGAGTTATGTATGATTAGAGGATTTTATTGGGTTTATGTGTAGACATTGTAACACCAATTTAAATTCCTATCTTATGAAATAGCAACTTTTCACACCAAATAATTATTTTGGTATTAGAGCCTATCTTAGTTGCCGCTCTTCTCTCTCTCTCTCTCTCTCTCACACCCGTCCCTCCCAAAACTTCTGCTGCAAAACAAGAGATGCGACGTCCGCTGGATTTGCAAGATGAGGAAGAAGTGACGTCGTCTATGTCGCGATCTTGCTCTTGCTATGAGACGAGGAAGACGCGAAGTCATTGGGTCTTTGTCGCGATCCTATTTTTGTCGTGATTCTGCCTCTGATCCTATTGCGAGACGAGGAAAAAGCATAATCGATGGGTATGTATCGCGATCTTGCTTTTGCTGCGAAACCAGACAAGCAACTCCATTACAAGGAAGCGTGAGCGGCTTCGGCACTGAGAAGGACGCAATGCAGTCGCGATCAGGGGGCGTTGAGAGGGACGGCGATCGGTTTTGTGTCACGCGAGAGCAGGGACGACGTTTCTGTGGTTTTTTGGGTAGCGCAAAGGATCGAGCGGCTTTGTCTTGTTGGAAAGAAGATTGTGGTTGTGTGGTTTTGTGTGTTTGACAAAGAGTTTGAGACTTTGTGCAAGCTAAGGTAAAGTGGATCGCACAAATTTGCAGGAACGAAGTTGCATGTGTTCTGCGTGCTCTAGATTTCTCTTTGTTATTGGGGATGTCAAAAGACGGATATAGTGTGGGAGGTAAAGGATTGAAACATTTGGAGAAGATACATCCTAAAGTTTTGAATACATAGGGAGCTAGTGTCTCGACGGGAGCCACTACCTCAGCATGTGTTCCGGCTCAGTCGAGTGGACTTGCAGGAATGTTGTCAGCTTTGGCTGCCTCGAGCTCATGTAGGACAGGTGCTCGGGGGGAGACTCGCAGGAGCTACAACTGCGAAGAAGTGGGACACATGAGCAAGATGTGTCCAAATCTACCCAAGGAGAGAGAGACTGGTGGATGTGGACAGCCTAGAGGCCGCAGTTGTAATCGTGGAGGCTCAAGAGGTAAAAGAGGGAGCTACCAGGCAAGTCTGATGGTAGCGGAGGACAGGGAGAGACAAGGGTGGTCCTTTTCAATGAGGATTATGAGTTACTGGAGATGCTGAAAAGGAAGCATAGAGCGGCTTGTGATGTCACTGGTGATGCATCCAACTTAACGTCATCCAAGTGAAACACTGCTAGTTATGCTCACTCAGTCAAAGGTGTTCGTGATACACATGTTCTTGTCTTTATATCCACCACAAATTCACTAGAATGGGTTGTAGGTTTTGGTGCATCTCGACATGTGGCAAGTGTCACTTGTGAGTTCTCTTTCTATACTCACCTAACAGTTCCAGAGAGCAATCAGATTGCCAATGGTACAACACGACCAGTTGTTGGTAAGGGTACTATGAGGTCTACCAATTCTATGACTTTGTGCAATATTTTGCATGCTCATTTTCCAATAAACTTTTTATCCATTAGTGTCATTATACTCCTCTAAAATGTGTTATTTCATTTGATATTCTAATAGTGATCTTTTAATAGAAGGAGAAACATGGGACTGGCACATGGCATAGTGGACTCCGATACTTGGATAGAGGGGATGGACTCAGTCTTGACATCCATGGTTGAGAATGCTGGAGCAGGAGGATCTGAGAGGAGTGTGGACGATGTATTTTTGCTACAGCCAGGCGCATGAGACATTCTTCTTTCAGTCTATTAAGTTGTTTGTATCTATCATTGTATGAAAAGGCAAATAAGGATAAACTGGTGTGTGATGTTTTTGAGTTTGGCAAACTCACTAGGAGCTTCTTTGTCAATTATGGGAATAAAAACTCTGGTATGTTTGTTTGATTTGATACTTATGTTGTACGGGAACCATGTCCTACTAGTTCTATAAATGATTATCGTTTTTTTTTTACTTTTATTGATTGTTTTTTCTTGTGTTATCTGGAGATACTTTATGAAACAGAAGAGTGAGGTGGTTGCTTTCTTTAAATATTTTTACAAGACAATCTGGACCCAAAATGAGGCAATTGTGAAGGCATTGGGATTTGATAATAAGACATAATATATCAACAAACCATTCGAAGACTTCCTATCAGCTCAAAAGATACAACACCAAACCACAGGTCCATACACACTAACACAAAATGGTATAGCAGAAGAAAAACCGACATCTTGAAGAGATAACCCGAAGCATGATGATGACGATGAATGTCACAGGATACTTATGAGGGAAAGCAGTGTTGACAACTACTCAACTGATTAACAGGATGCCCTTAAGAGTGTTGGAGTGGAAGTCTTATTATCAGATGTTGAAAGGAGACAATAGTGAGATCCTTCCATTAAATATATTTGGATGTGTATGCATTGTGAAAGACTATAAGCTATATGTAGGAAAATTGGATCTCAGAGTTGTGCAATGTGTGTTAGTGGGTTGGGGCTCGATTGAAAAGAGATTTTTTGTGAGTATGGATGTGTCATTCTGAGAGTTTGAACTATACTACACTCTGAAGGTGAATTCACCATTCGGTGACTCAACAGGCACTAAAGATATGAGGCAAGAGAGAGTAAGTAGTAGTGTGATGGAGTGGTGCAAGTGAGATCAATGTCATATCCTGTGATGTGGGATGAACCAACTGAGGAGACGAAAATCGATGAGATTGAACCCAGAGGTGATGGGATTCAAGCTAACATCTCTCATTTGCATGGAGCATTCATTACATCATTGGGCCCTGTCTCTATACCAAAGTGTTGGCAGATTGCTAAAGAGGATCCCAATTGAAAAGCGGCGATGTATGAAGAGTTTGGAGCTCTTGATAAAAAACGACCATGGGAGATTGTACCCTACCCGCAGGGGAGAAGGCAGTTGGATGCAAGTGGATCTTCACCGTAAAACAAACTTCAAAAGGGAAAGTGGAGAGGTACAAAGCACGACTAGTGACAAAAGGGTACAGTCAGACTATGATATTGACTACAATGAAACATTTGCACCAGTTACAAAGATGAGCACAATTAGCATGCTGGTTTCTCAGGCAATAAATGGTGGATAGAGACACGACCAACTGGATGTGAATAATGCTTTTCTTCATTGGAAGCTACTGGAGGAGGTACATATGGAGATGCCAACAAGATTCAATATGTCTCAAAGAGTGTGCAAGATGTGTAGGCTCAAAAAGTCATTGTATGGCTTGAAGCAGTCTCCTCTAGCCTAGTTTGACAAGTTTAGAACGGCGATGATTGACATGGGATGTCAACAAACCAATGCTGACCCCACAGTGTTCTTTCGGCAACATGAAGGTCACACTACCATACTTGTTGTGTATATGGATGACATATTTATCACTCGTGATGATGAGGCAGGGATTGCTCAACTGAAGGAAAGATTAAGGAAGCAATTTGAGATAAAGGAATTGGGACAACTCAGATATTTTCTTGGGATTGAATTGACCCATAAACCTGAGGGAATGATCCCATCTTAAAGAATGTATGTATTGGATCTTCTTACGGACATAGATATGCTAAGGTTGCAAATTTGCAGTCTCTCCAATTGATTAAAAGGTCAAGCTCAGTATAGAGACAGGTGAATTAGTTAATCGTGAGAGGTACCAGAGGCTTATGGGCAACCTGATCTATCTATGCCATACTCGAACTAATATCTCTTTTGGAGTAAGTGTGGTGCATGATCCAAGGAAGGGTCATATGAATGCAGTGTATCAGATTCTAAGATATCTGAAGAGTGCACCAGAGAAAGAATTAATATTCAAAAATAATGGGCATGTAAATATTGAGGGCTTTTGTGAGTCTGACCGGGTAAATTGATGTTGATGACAGACGATCCACATCATGATATTGTATATTTGTAGGTTGCAACTTGGTCTCGTGGAAGAGAAAAAAGCAGTCAGTTGTAGCAAGATCAATAGCAGAGGCAGAACACTGGGTCATTGCATTAGGAGTTGTTGAGATGATGTGGTTGAAAGCTTTGTTGGTTGAACTCAAAGTAGATTAGGGAACTCAAATGAAGTTGTGGTGTGACAAGTCGGCAATCAGCATTGCTAACAACCCAGTGCAACACGATAGAACTAAACATGTGGAGATTGATAGATTCTTCATAAAGGAGAAGCTGAATAACGAATTGTTGGAACGAAATCATATAGCTACTGGAGAGCAGGTGGCTGGCCACCTCACTAAAGGACTTAGTTCGGTGGAGCTAGCTAGATTATGTGACAAGATGGGCTAGATAGGCTTGGTGAATATCTTTCTCCCATCTTGATGGGGGCTAGATTATGTGACAAGATGGGCTAGATAGGCTTGGGGAATATCTTTCTCTCATCTTGAGGGGGGGGGTTGTGAGTTATGTGTAATTAGAGGGTTTTATTGAGTTTATTTGTTAAACATTGTAACACCTATTTAAACACATATGTTGAATGAAATAGCAAGTTTTCACTTGAAATAATTCTTTTTAACAATCATCTTGTATTTCCAATAACTCATTGTTTGGTGATAGATATGTCGCTGGAGCTAAATGTGCCATTTATGTCTTGATATGGTTTTCCCATCATTATCTACAGTGATAGTTTTACTTGACTTCCTCAGTGATCTAACATTTAGATATGAGAACTAAGTAATATTTGATAATTTGGACATGATAGGATGTTGTGTTTAACAAGACAGATTTAGAAGAGAGAACAAATGTAATCATTGCGTTTACTCTTTTTTTTTCTCTTTATGGCTCTCTCACTCTCCTAATCCTGAGTAACAACAATCAAATATTTTTTTTAATGAAAACACACCTCACCCATATTTTTTACTTATATCTCTATTTTTCTAGCAATATGCAATCACATTCTCCCAAAAGCTTCTCCTTCATTTGTAGAAATAACAGTGCTGCTGCCACATTATTACTCATTGTTCTGCATAATTATGGATGTAAAGGAGAAATTATTTAGTATCATTGCAGAACAACATATTTAAGCAATATAAATTCAGTGCAAAAATGAATTTTAAGCTACACTACCTAATAATTTCTTGTATCTAAGGCAGCCTGGGAGAACATAATGAACAGAGCAACAATTGGAGAGCTTAATAGTTGCAGACAATTGATTGAGAGGGATATGAGAGATGTTGATAACAATAAAAAATAATGTATGTTGACTGTGAGAGATGAAGTTTGGGCATTTTCTTTAGATTTGCTTATTTATTATTTTAATTCTGATGTCATTAGAATATAATTTAGAGATTCTAAATTAAGATATAAAGACCTTTCAAGAAAAAATAAATTTGAGATAAAAAGATGAATTTTATGGTAGCATTTTATTTTTGCAAACTGGCCGTTGTGTTGAGCAAGAACGAACACATGCTGTGTTTGTTCTTCAAAGCTGAGAAACTAATGGCTTCCATAATTGAAATTTCCTTTCTTGATAAAATTTGTGTGAGAGAGTATTGAAATTGTCGTAAGAGGATTTGATGATTCCATCAATTTTGGAGCTATTTAATGTCATCTGGATGTCGTAGATGATTTTTATACTTATGAAAGTAATTTCATTCATTTATTTATATTTTTTTATAATTTGAGCACTCTACTCATGTCTGAAATTTTCTCTTTGCTGGATTTGAGGTCTTCATCAAGTGCAAGGCATGAAAATTTCAGAATTGAACTCACTTTGTTTTCTAGTTTGTTTTTTTCTTTACTGTACTCAATCTCCTCGTCTATTTTGATTTGCTTTCATTATTATCTAGTTAGCCTATTATTCATGCATGAAATTACTGCTTCTATATAAAATTTTCTTTTATGTCTAATTGAACATTATCTCCTCCAAGCAGTAAAATTGTGAATAAGCGAATGAGCTTTATGAATCAAAGAAACCAACGCTATACCTTGCTGCCCTTCACTCCACTGGGGCTTCTGTGCCCCAATCATGTGCTCATAAAAGAGCCGTACTTTAGCTATAGCTGTCATTTTATTTAATCATGCATTATTTTAGAAGCAATTCGTACAAAGCTTGAACTCCTGTCGGCACCATTTACTCCTTTTTCAGCTACGAATGGGTCGTAATATGATAGCGTTAATAATTGTGGGTCATGTTAGTTCTTAGGTAGTTGATGTTTATTAAATTAGTTATTAGATGTTTAGTAATCTCTTAGTACTATATTTCCATGAATACACTGTATGGGGAGTGCTACTAAGCATGAACATGGACTGATGGGTACGGGGACATGTAATTGCAATAGATAAGACACGACATGACATCAGTATGTTTTTTTAAATATTTAATAAATTATTAATATAAATGTATATTTTAAATATTTTATGCTAAAGGCTTCACAAAATAAAACATACAATCATTAAAAAAAATTCTTAAAGATAATAATTATTTTTAACAATATCGAAATTACATTCCAAAAATCAAGAAAATTATCAAAATAATGTCAATATCATTCATGATAAAATGAAATGAAATATAACAATACAATCATCATTAATTGACGTTAGTGCATTTAATAGTTATGTCATCGTTAGTACTAACTTCATTGCTTTCATCAATGACACATTCGCTTTTATCAACGAAAAATATTGTTTCTAATCATACCTCATAAAGGAAAAGATTAGTAACTTCAAGTATTTCAATATCATTCTTTGTAGCTAATACATTTTCACCAACATCCCAGAATTTTGTGCGCCCTCAGAATATTTCGGGCTTTTCCTAAACAGAAAAAAAGAGATTAATATAAACACATACTAGATCTTCACCCTCATTGACGAACGATTTTTTGGCTTTTAATTGAGTTAATAAATGAATATATATTCTAGTTTCTTTCACCGTAAGAAGATGAATATGATTAAGCTAATAAATTGAAAGTAACTTTACAATTGTGAGGAACTACTCCATAAATCATTCACCATTTCTTTCCATGCATAATAAC